ACGGCGACTTCGACTACAAGAACTTCATCACCGGCTACCTCGGCATCCCGCTCTACATCATCATGATCGTCGGGTATAAGCTGTGGACGCGCTGTCCCCGCGTGATCCCCGCCCACGCGGATCTGTGGACCGGCAAGGACGCCATCGACCGCGAGGAGGAGGAGTTTTTGGCCCAAAAGGCCGCGAGGGACGCCGAGGGCAAGAAGCGAGGCGGCTGGTTCTACCGCACTTTTGTCGCGTGGTTGTTTTAGAGAGGGAGAGGGGATAATCCTGATCATTGTGATCATCATAATGGAAAAGGGTCGTTTGGTCTGATGCCATGTCTACGTGTTCAGATGTCTACACAACTACATCCCTACATCCCTACATACCTATAAGTTAACAGAACTATATATCTACACGTCCACATATCTAAATATTTACATATCTCCATATCCGCACGCCAACATGTCTACCTTTGGTGATGACGAGCCCGCGTCTTCTAAACATCCTGGCATTCCCGCTGACGTCTTACTGTCTCCTGTCTCCTGTCTCCTGTCCGCTCACGACTGTCCTGTCCCGCCCTGTCCTGAACTGTACTGTACCCTTCCTGCACCTCGTCCAAAAGGCGGACAGATTCGCGCCAATCCCAAATGACTCTGGACACGACCTCGTCCGTATCCTCGTCGACAGCCAAGAGCAACCCCCCCGCGAAATACCTCTTGGACGACTTCTTCCTCAACTCATCGCCTGCCCTTCTGAGAAGTTCTGGCGACGATGGATCGGATAAAGACGGTAGAGGTGGAGATTGAGATCGAGATCGAATCTTCTCGTCGTAGAAGAGAATCATTCTTTGTTGCTGCTGCCGTCGTGGCCGAGGGATCGGTACTGTCGGTACCACATCTTCCCCACGTCGGTCAATCCGCCATTGTTTCTCCTCGCTGCGCCGTCTTCTATACTCTTTCAGGACTGCCTTTGTGGTTTCGTAGATGGTGTCGCGCACATTCTTCGAGTATGTCTTGTCGACGAGCTGCACAAACACCATCGTCAGCCAATTGGCCGACTTGACGTCCTCGAGATAAAGCGTCGAAGATGACATGACCGTCAGTATGATACTGTCCAGAGCAGAGGCTGCTGGCTGCGTCAGGGATAGACTCCCTTGTTGAGCTGCGAGACTCGTCTTCTCCACAAGCTTCCCGACGGGCCTTTTAGGATCTAGCTCGTCGCCGTGATCAACAGGCCAGGCTGGAGTGGTACTTTTCTGCTCTGACGCCGGTTTGGCACGGACGTTTTTCAGCTCACCAAGAGGTTCGCGTCGGGTGGAGGCCGAAGACCTCAGTTCTGTGGGTTTCCCTTGGGATCGGAATACTGCTGGAGGCTCATGGGGTTGGACAGAGGTCATCTGGTCTCGAAGAGAGAACTCTAGCGAAGTAAAAGGCCTTTTCACGGTAATATGATTTCTTGGTCGCTTATTGGCCGTCATGGCCAAGCTAGAAGCTTCATATTTACGTTTGACCCCCAATTCGAGACCAAAGGCATCATGCGTTGGTCGTATTGGCCCTACAGATGGCCCCCCACTCTCTACATTGGTTGCTGCCAGTGCAAGAGGAGACGATTCATGGCTGCGGGCGAGCTTGGGGCTCAGTGTGCCGTCAAGCGTAACTGTAATATTGCGACTTCTCGGGGGTGATGGCGATGGGTGTCCACCGGTAGTCTGAACATGGCTGGCAGGCGGAGGGGACGAGGTACATATGCTGATGCTGGCAGTCGATGAGCGCGAAGGGCTCGGTGTGCCTCCCGCGTGGAGGTCGACACACTGATGTCGCTTTCCATCAGCTTCAATGAGACGTCTGATCCAATCAACCTCTTCCTGTTCTTCGGGATCCGCAGGAGTGAGGCTCTCTCGTGCAATCTCCTGTAGCTCTTCAAAGCTGTGAGTATCCGTCAAAGGCCGACCAAAGTGCAACTTGACGTCACGAGGAAACCGCAGCGTGTAGTAGGCAACGTCTGCGGGCCTAGAAAAGGCGGCTCCAGTCACTTCAACAACAAACGGCTTGGTGAACAAGATTGTGGGAGGTTGGCGCGCGATATCTGGCTGGTCGATGGTGACGTTCATGTGCTCGGTCGATTCAGAAAAGGGCGAGCAGAATCCCAAACCACGTTGATTCAGCTCCCGAAACGTCTCTTCCGACATGGTCTGACGTGTCAGGATGTCAATGATCAGAAATTCTGGCTTGAGCCCGAATCTTTGGACGGCTTCCTTATTCTTGAGGCAAGCGGCATAGAACGTCGTCCAGTTGACGGACCAGCCGTGCTTGTCTGCTTCCGCCGCGTCTTTGCGGCCGCCAATAATACAGAGGTCCGCCGCGTCCCCGAGTCCCTTGATATAGTCCTTCTTCAACTTGATCGCATTGGCGTTCCACAGGGTTGAGAAGTAGGAATCGTGGCGGCCTTTCAGCACGAACCCCTCCCATCTCTGTTCAATTGCGTGTCCGAAGAACTTTTGGAGTTCTTCTTTGGCGCTTTTCGTGCCGAATCTAATCTCCCGACACTCGCCGAGCTGAGCAACACCTTCGGTAACGCTGACAATCTGCTCCAATCGACGGCGCCGCAAATATTGAGGCTGATTGACAAGGTTCTGATTGTCGTGCCAAAGGCAGTCGTAGAATATAATCATCAATTGTTCGTCTGACGATCTTGGAGAGTCGGCAGCTGCGCCTATCGCTCTGCCGTTGTATTGGATATATTTCCGGATCTTTTCGAATGGCAGAATGCTTCTCCGCGAGTGACTCCAGACCAGCATTTCGCCTTCAAGTATACAGTTTTGAGCGATCGCACAGTCCGGTTCACTGAGGCGTAGACCGGCCTCCAGTGCTCCGTGAAGCCGGATCCAAGGCTTTGTCGAGTCTTTACCACGCTTGGAGAATAGCTGTATACAGTCTTTGCCTTTTGACTTGTCGATATGGACCTGGCAGTACCAGCCGTCATACTTGCGCTCGACGCTCATCGTCCTCGCGTTCGCTATCTGACAGCAGTGCCTGATACTCCTCGCCTTTTCATACTCTTGGCGCTTGATCATGACACCAAGCTTGGGTGTCAAGTGTCGGGCGCATTCTTGTCGATACCTTCGTTGCAGAGCACGGGGTGGGTCATGAGGGATGGAGACCAATTCGGGCTGCCCTAGGACTTTGATCGCCTCGACGAGAGAGTTCTGGAATGGGAGAATATCAGGCAGCAAGAAGTGGAAGCACCCCAGGACCAAGTGTTCAGGAATCTGGACGGGGTCATAGGACTTCTGAATCATTCTCACAAACCACTTGGCCTCTTTGCTATGGAGCCGCGATAGAATAGATCGCAGAAGGGTTTCAGACCTAGCGCCATCTCTATGCGTCCTCATTTCGGGCGAAGCAAATCTGGAATTGGCAGCAAGCTGGCACAAAACAGCATCGACCTCCTCCAGCGTTACCTCTCTGTCGACAGGCGGTGGATCATTTTCGGCCAGGCCCATGACACATTTCTCAAGACAGGTAGCAAAATCGAAACCTGTAGCCTCCCACGCAAGTAGCTGCCGACCACGGGATGTGTTCTCGATGAACAGAGCCTTGGATAAAACGCGAGCTAGGGATTTGGGCTGCAGTCCATAGACGAGGTGTGGCACTCGCTCCAACAGCAGGCAAGACAGGAATGCCACGGCGGAGGATCCATGTCGGACGATTTCGGAGTCGTGGCTCCTGAACCATTGGATGATGAGTTCGTGCAAAGGCCGCGAAGGGCGCGTCGAGGACGACTGTGCTTGTTTCTGGGCTGTATCGAGTTCTTCGAGGAGTTGTACGAGGTACTTGAACTTGAAGGGCATCGAAGCATTTTTCCTCGGCGCATAATCGACGTGGAGAGGTGAAGGATTGGTTGAGGTCGCATGTGCGCAGGGAAGATGGACGACGCGACTTTTCGCGCCGCACAGATTCGCGCTAACGACGCGGATTCACGTGACGGTATAACTTTTTCCTCTCTCCTTGTCCTGAGTTGTGTATGGAAAGAGCTGTCATCAACGACATATATTGATATGGTAAACCGGTCATCACACCGTTCGTCAGATGCCATCAGTCAGGAGTCTTGTACAAAAATTATCATGTCCACATCAGCCTTCTCAAAGCGCTCATTTGTTTGCTTCACAGGACAAGATCACCCATCCCAAAGCCTCGCCCAGTGAATGCAATTACCCTGGGAGAAAGAACTGGCAGAAAGCTAGAAAGAAACAGCAAATACCTGTAGAAATAGTTACATGCAACATGACTCAGGCAAGTGGACAAGTAATATAATACCATTAGCATTATGCTGTCTACCCAGCACAGAACCCGCGCAGCTCAGCGTCAGAGATAGACACGGCGACAAACGAGTGGCCTGGTATTGTAGTATTTCAAGACCGATCATATCGAACCTCTCAATTTCTGTGCCAGTACACTTATATTTGATAAGTCAAAGCCGGCATTCAATTCAAAGGCCCTTTTTCATCACAAGTCCATGCTTGTGTTCACGGTCTCCGAATCAAAGTAACAGCACATAGAACCCATCGCGCTGGTAGGAATCGAAAGGTGCAAATCGTCAAATAAATAAAGAAAAAAAAAATAGAAGGGGGCAGTGGCTACTTTCATGATCCACAATGCAGAGTGCTCGCTCCACGACCCTCCCAGCCCGCCGCGATAGGCTACCATCAAACCATGAGGAAGAAGAAGGAGTAAAGAAGATGAAGCAGAAGAAAAGTAACAAGGCAAAATGGGGGAAACTATCCTGTTCAAATACCCGACACGGGAAGAAGGATTCAACAGCACAAGTGACACAGTGGAAGAGTGTTTGTCGAAAAGCAGTAGAAGGCCCTGTATCCATCATACGCACATCAACAAGAACAGAACAGCAAGCGCGCTCATTTCAATAACCATCGGACATCCTCAGAGGAGAAGGGTCGACTTTGGAAGTAAACATCGAGAGAGGAGGGGGTATGTTTCACCAGACTCCCTCTCATGTTATGTACTCCTCACCATCGAGTCCCCGAGCCGCAAGCCCAGCCCGATCTCCTGTCTGGGGCGATTTGGAGGCTGAAAAACACCAGTTCCTCGCTGATCCGATACATCGTACTGGACTGGAGCTATGTTCAGATACGGGTTATCATCGGGAACGAAACTATCCTTGTGGTTCCATTGACCGCTGCTCACAGACCGTTCGAGTCGTTGGACCAAATGCGAGTTCTCAGCATCAGATCTCACAAAAGGTGCATGTGGGATGAGGTACTGTCCGTTGCGCCGGGCACTGAAGAAATCCTCATCACGCCGAATTTGTAGTGTCGGGGCCGATGGATGCCGTTGCTGGTTGTAATCCGTCTTGGTCCGCAGGGCCAGCGGAGCCACATGAACCTCGGGCTCGGGGCTCTCACCGCGCACACTGACATCCTCCCAGATTGAACCACCGCCAATCGACATCACGGATGGCGACACGGAAATGAGTGGTGGTGTCAGGTCGAAGTCGCTATGCAATGAGGTGCGTACTGGCACCCTTGTTTGGGGAGGTCTGTTCGAGTTCGAGCCCAACGGAGCCAACGGACTGGAGCCGCGATTGACTTGCTGTCTATCCAATGATGTAGATCGAGGTGTGCTTGCAATGGGTGATGTACAGCTCGTACTTCGGAGACCCATGACACGTTTATTCATCAGCGGAGAGGGCATCGCGACACTTTCAGGACTTTCATATCCGGCTGCGCCAAAGTTGGACAATTTGGTACTCCGCTGCTCGAGCAGACGACCCTCAGAGTCCATGCTCCGTAGCATCATAACTGATTTCCGAAGCGCAAAATCTCCCGACTCGCTGGAATCACAAGCCTTAGTAATCCGGTCGTGTGGTCCAATCTTGTTCTGTAGAGGACTCGCAGAGGCCGCATGGTTTCCCGGAGTCGAATTTCGAGGGTCGCGTGGCCCTTTGACAAGAGACTTGCGAGGATAAAGGGAGGCTGACTTTAACGCGGGCGAGGGCAAGGTGGGAGATTCAAATGGAACCCGTTCATGCTGTCGGGATGATGGTGGCGTGTTCCTCAAAGGAGCGCTGGGTCGCGAGCATGGCGAAAGTGGCCAATTATGAGGTGACGTGTGGTGACGGTTTGATACGTGCAAAGCCATGTGGCTGGAGTTGAAGACCTCGGAATCTGGTCTGGGTGTGCCTGAAAGTGCACTGTCGGGGCGTTGTATGTACTGCCTTCTCGCGGGGCGAGGTGTGGGTGTCAGTATGGGTGGGTTTCGAAAGGGAGACGGTATAGGAGTCGTGGTTGGTCTGGTGCATGCGTCCGATTGCTCAGTCTGGAATATTGGTCGAGATTGTCTGATGTCGAAGCCATGAAACGATTCATCTGCCTCGATCCTGTTGACGTGAGCTAGCTGTTGCTGCTCCTCTTTGAGCTCAGGCAAACGCATGGTGCCATTTGATCTCAACTCCAGATAGGGCAGATTAGTTATGCGGACGCAATTCTGCCGTTTGTGACCTCGCTTTGCTCCATCTAAAGAAGACAAAGAGTGCCGTTTCGTTGCAAAGCTACCTTGTCGATCCCACTTCAAAGGATTGCCGGTCGCCACCGAATTGGGTCTTTTGGGACCCTCCAGCACAGAAAATACATCCTCATCAGCGAGCAGGCTTGTGGCAGAGTCACTGATCGCTCGGCATTGGGCGACTCTCGACTGTTCTATCATCGAATGTCGACTAGGCTTGTCCGACGGAAGTCTTGTTTTGGCAACTTTGAGTGGCGGTAGATCCCAGCCACTCGCATCGATGACCTTGAAAGATTCCTCTTGAACAATGATTGTTGGGTATGGTGTGGGATTTGACAGGATATTGGTACTGCCCGGGCTTAGGTCGTCTGTGTCGACAGTCGGATGAAGAGATCGAATGCTGGGCTGGCCAGCACAGAGACCATGTATGGTTTGTTTCACAGGCGGCGCTTGGAGTGTTGGAGTCGAGAACTTACGCTCGTATCCCAGCCTCATCGTAGGAGTATGTTTGTTCGGATCGAGTTTCGAAGCGTTGCGCTCCATATTACTATTCGCAGGCGAACTCATAAAGGCCCCCAAGACTGAGCTACCAACTGTGTCCAAACTGGCATCTGAGACTCTTGCCTTGAGATTCCGTGGGACCTGAATTGTCGGCAAAGGTGGCAAGGGTTCGTCGGGTGGCAAAGAAGCCATGCTGGCTGCACTTGCTGAGCGAGGAACAGCAGCCGTCTGACTGTATTTTGCTGCCCTTTTCCTCATGAGAACGCTGTCTCGTACTGCTATCGACGTGATTTCGGTGGGGATGATATCGGAGGCTCTCGTGCTTGCAGCTCTCAAAGGCCATTCAGCGGAGTTATCAAATGATGATTCAGCCTCACTCTTATCGTTTGTGGTAATTTCCGTTGGTTCTGATGGAAATCCGGGCACCATTGGTGACACGCCTGTCGAGGGATCACTGAACTCGGTGATGGCCGAGAGAGGGGATTTTTGGATGTGATCCAACGGTACAGCCTTCCTTAGCTTTCCCTGTTTTCGCGTCTTTGGAATATAGAGCGGCTGACCAGTAAAAGGCCGTCGGATGCTTCTTTTGTCTCGAGGGCGCAGAACTTCGACAAAGTCGTCGACATGACCGGTCGTCGCGTCTAGTCGCGCCTGTTCATCTTCGCTAGCACTGTCGCCCCCGATAGATATGATTCCGAAAGGGAGCTGCACGCTTCGCCTCAAAGCTGTCGTCGGATGTGTAACGTGAGAGTAGTTGTGCTCGGAGGCACTGAGCTTTGGACCATGACATTTGCTGAGACCTCTGGTCAATCCGTGGGCTCTCATGATATGGCGATGTCGGCGTCGCTCCAGCGTGATTGCAAGCAAGATCCCTGTACAGGTGAGAATTGCCGCGCCCACCACCGCAATCACTATGATTAGCCATAAGGGCCACATCTTTCGTGTTTCGTTCGTTGTCTATTGATCACCCACCTCGCAGCAGTCCGAAACATGGTGGAGAAGGCGAGTTTCGCGGGTGCTGTTTGCACAAGGGCGCTGACAGCCATGACTGGAATGTGGGAGATTGGGGAGCTTCGCCGCAAGGGATCAAAACTGTCAGTCTGGAATGTGGAGGATCTGCTGTTCAAAGGACGCGGCCATGATCCATTGGTCAGTTTCCATGTCGGTGCCTACCATTTGACAGCCATATATCTATGACAGCCTCGATCATGGCGTGTAGTGATCCGAAAGTGTGCTGTAGGCTTTGCGTGCGAGCAAGCGAGAAGACAAAGGGTTGAGAGACTTGGGTGTAATGACAGGGGAAGCAAAGAAGGGACAATATCCTTACTTTACTGCTGCGATGATCTTGTCTGCATATCACTAGTCCAACCACTGGGGCTGCAAGAGACTGCATTGTAATGGCTGAAGAGGCACGAGAGGATCGAAGGGGAAAGGAAGTCGTCTATTTGCTCAACCGTAGTTAGTGTGTGTCATCACTGAATGCTCCGCCGTACGTACTATGAGGATTTCCACGTGGTTGATTACATCAGCAGTGATCAGGCACTGACCCCCCCCCCCCTTTGTTGCTGGTCAACTTTGCCATTCCCTACCAAATCTCGAGACTAGGAAGGGAGCAGCGATACCAGATCATGGAGATCCTTATCATCCCGCATTGTTTAGACTCTCTATCTATCTACCCTGAATACCTAAAAACCGAGCACGACTCTTTGCTTCACAGTCGCGTAGATCCCCTTTTCTCGACAAGAGTAACGAGGAACAGTGAGTGAAATTTTACGACTTGAAATGGTTCGATTTCATTCTGGAGAACACGAGGCATAAGGTCGGGGCGAGATGTCAGGACCCAAAGGACCCATTCACGATGGCCCCGGTCAGCAATTGCCCATGCCGAAACTATTTACGTTACCACTACACAAGCACACTCTCCTATCATGCTCATGCTCCCCTCAGGAACTGCAATCTCTGCCCCACTAGATGACAACAGCCACGTGGTCGTCCATGTACTTCTCAATGTTGCCCAGGAACGCAGAGCAGATGATGGCGACCCCTCCAAAGGCGATCGACACCAGATACACCCAGCGATAGCTCTCGGAGTAGGCCACTTGTCCAGCAGTCACCACCATCTGATAAGCCGTGTCATTGCCAGCGATGCCGGGGATCTGTTTGAGTTCGTCTAGGAGGGAGAGACCGGTGATTGTGATGGCGTTCACAATGTACGTCTCGTTGGTGATTCCAAGTTGACCAACCATGACTCCTCCGAGGTATTCGACAATCTTGACCTTGAACTTGTTGACGAAGACGTTGTAGTAGGTCGTATACCCAATGCAGCCGCCAATCACACGAATCGACAGCGTTAGCGCCGTGACTGTGGCAATAATGTCGTCGGGGCAAATGATGGTCGTGATGATGGAAGCGGGGACAACAATTCCTCCAATTCCGAGACCTGCGACGACAAGGATGCCGTAGACTGCATGGATATTGTCGAGGTCGGCAGCTGCAAGCGCGCCACAGCCCGCGGTCATCAAGATCGAGGACGCCATGAGCAGTTCACGGATGTGTCCGCCGAAAAGTGATAGGAGAACCAAGATGATGCAGCAACCTCCGAGGATGGAGAAGCCGATCGGAAGAGTTCTGACTCCGACACCTGGCTAGAGTTAGCCCGGGGCATTCGAATAATGGATTGAGCTTTGGGGATATCATACCAACGGGATCGTGGCCGTACACATTGAAGGCCTGCGTGGGCCAAAACATCAAGATTGAGAAGAAATTTGCACCTGATATGGCAGTAATCACCAGGGTCAAAGACAGCACCCGCGCATCTTTCTTCATGCGAGAAGGAAACATGGGAAATTTGGCGTATTTGATCTCCCAGATCGGGAACAGAACGAACAGGAGGAAGAAACCCAGGATGAGTGGGACTAAGACGTGGGCAGATCCCCATTTGTACTGGTATCCTCCCCACTGCAGACCGGCGAGGAAGATGATCATGCCTGAGATGCTGAGGAAGCCGCCGACAAAGTCGATCTCGTCGATGATCTGTTTCTTGGTCAAGCCGCGAGAATTGGGCCGCGGTGGCGGGAAGTAGAATGCCAGGACGCCGACAGCTCCGATCAAGGCCCAGACGCCCGAGATGAACGCGCACCATCTCCAGCTCGAATAGCCGGCAATGAGCCAGGCGTATAGAGCCGAAGGGCAGAATGGGATAATTGTGAGGACCAAGGCTGCGACGTAGATGCCACGTTTACGTGTAGGCGCCAGTTCTGACGTACCAGCGAGGCACGTTAGTTCGCAAATACCGGCGCCCACGCCAGAGATGCCCATGCCAGCTATTCAATCAGTCAGTCGCGCATTGGCCCCCTTGGAAAATGTAGGCGAACACGGGGTTAGTCCTTACCAATGAACTGATTCATACCCTGTGCGGTGCCAGCAACAATCATGGCGATGACGAGAAGCCCCGAGCCCAAGAGCGCGACGTATCGGCGCCCGATCAGGTCGGACAGGGAGCCCACAAAAGGGCAGATGGATGCCAGCGAGAGGAGGTATGCCAGCACGAACCAGACCCATCTGTCATAGCCTCCGATCTCCGAGTAGATCAGAGGGGGAATACCGCCAAGCAGATAGGCCGGGATCTGAGAGCCGGTCCAGAGAAACGCCATGGCCACGAGACTCATGATTCTTTTTGTCGTCCACTGTTGGCCGCATATCAGCAAAGGTGGGAGGCTCACAAATGCGGGCGGTGGTGCACAGAACGGCAAAAGGGAAAAAAGGACTTACTGGAGGCTCGTGATCATGGTCCTGGTCGTCGCCATAGGTTCGCAGGCCGTCCTTCTCATAGTAGCCGGGATGGCCCTCGACGCGTTCGAAAGTGCGGACTTGCTCGATGTGAGCGCCCGTCTCCTTCTCCGACGGCGAGGAAGATCCTCTGCCTTCAATCCCACTGGGCTGAGGGGTCTTGTCGTCCTCCATGGTCGATTTCTGTTGTGACGTGAAGGCGAAAATGTTCGATGCGACAAAGTCGTCTGGAGGTAGAAGAGTTGGATGGAGAACTATCCACTGTCCACCGTGAGCGACTATAAGAAAAAGGGAGATGACAATGCGTCAAGCTGACTGACTCGAAGACTCGCGACCTTTATGTACCTGTACCAGCCCAGAATCCTCCTCACACCTTTTAGCGAGGGTGGGAGTGCGTCTGACTCGAGCAAATACAATAGAGGAGGGGGAGAAGAGGTGGGAAGGTCGTAATCTTGAGCCTTTTCAGGATAGTTTGGCGCTGCACAGCGTGTCACAGCGTTCACGAGGTGCATACTTCACAGGGTCGTACCACTCGCCACGTTCTAGGCTTCGCCAGAAAGGCGGAGGTGCACGGACTCTGACTGGGGGTCGAATATGGTCTGATGTGTGACTGGCTGAGTGCCCCACCTCCACAACCTGGGGAAGATTGATGCCATTCCCAATATGGCAAAAGAACCTTTTGACCAAGAGGTTGTGGGGAGGCGACAAGCAAGCCATGCTTGACGAGCTTGCCAGCTTGTCCATCCACACTTGCTACTGGGCGAGCGGGGCCCCCTTTGTTGCTTTGGACTTTGCTCGACCTGGCTTGGCAATGCGCTGAATAACGTGTTAATATGCTGATGGACAGCAGCACTATCGCCCAAAATTTACATGACCGAGAGCTAGATGTGCCAAGTTGAGCTCAGGTCTCATGGGTGCTTTGAAGCTGGAACCGAGATTCTAACCGAGATTCTCGGTTTGCTTGCTCGGTGCCAGGCACATTAAGTGGCAGGGTCTCTTTGGCTTGTCAGGTTATCCTGGTGACGAAGTGAAGGGTTCAACAGCTACCAAAGGGGGAAGTGTCTCTGGCGTACATGATAAGGTCGATCAGTTGCCCTCAGGGAGTAGGTGCCTGCTCAAACTTTTATGTATTTCGACCATCCATTCACTCTTGATCCTCGCCAATGTTTGTCCATTGCTTGATATCCTGAAAATCCATTACCCGATTGGCGCCCTGCGGACCAAACCGACCCTGCAGGTCTTTCCAGTCCCTACCCCGGGCTGTCTCTGGCCTCCATCGAAAGCTCTGTTTCAGCTTTTCGTCCAGTTTATCCTCCATAGCATCAACAATAAAGCCTCCAATTGCGGGGATATGGCAAAATCCATGTCCAGAGCCACCCACACCCAGCACTAAGGAGGCGTAATCTGGGTGCTTCGAAATTAGGAATGCCCGGTTGGGCGTGTCTGCGCACCAGCATATCCGCGCAAAAGAGAAAGGTCGGTCTGCCAGGTGAGGCATGGTCTCGCGCAAGAATTCCCGGCAGCGCGCTTCGCTTTCAATCGGAATCTGGTGCTTTGCGAAGGGGGAGCTGATCTGACCAGCATCTGGCGCAGCTGCGTCGGAGATCCAGTTGCAATACCCAGGGTGTTCGTCACACATCTTCAGTTCGTGATTGTCCTCGTCGGGCTCCATGAAGAAACCTCGCTCGATATTGAACAACACCGGAAGGTTTTTGTACAACTTGGCTTCCTCTGGGGTCATCTTAATGTGGGCCAGTGTCCAGGCAGTGGGCCGAAGTTGATCTTTCATGTCGAACAGAGCCGCCGCGCTGGCGCCTGCACTGAGTATTGTCCTGTCTGCATAGTGGTAAGTGCCATCAGCAGTGATGGCGCCCCGGATGTCGGTAGAATCATAGATCAAACTCGATACACGGCCTATCTGGTCGCCGGTAATGAATTTGACCCCTAGACGAGCGGCTTCCCGAGCGGCGCTCTCCATACTCTTGCGAGCGTGAACCCACCCAGCTCCTTTTTGCATCCACCATCCCTCCCAACCGGGGAACTCGCCCGTCAATACACCCTTGGGCATGGTTGCTTGGAAGTCTTCCTTGGTCCTGAGCGGAATCCACCCACCTGCCTCGCTGGGCCCATCCCGCGTGTTCATGTGC